GCTGAACCAGCTCTCTCTTGACTTCAGCAGAACTCTGCTCATTGGCATTAATGGAGAGTTGCATCCTATATACTGACATGAAGAGTACCTTAGAATGAGGAATGTGTCTTCAAACTTTTACTGTGCTGTGTATCATAGGGAATTACTTTGGTTTTTATTTTTCCTAAGTCCCAGTATCATTCACGGTACTGTGGCATCCTGCAGATTTTGTCCTGGTCAGTGAAAGTGATAGCCTTTTGCTACACTTAGGCACACCCTACTGGTCACGGCATGAGGCTGCCTTAGGGCTGCTTATGAAGATATTTTCTCAAGATATTTTGAATAAAGTCTGTTAAGTTGGGAGTAGAAGGATAGGCTCCTCTCTCCACTGTTTTTACAAAGAGACAGGATTTCGATGACATGAAACTGCAGCTACAAAAGCACACATGTAAGTGGCTTACTAGCAGCACTGTTAGTATACTTGCTGACCTAATGACTGCAGTCCCTAGAAATAAGTGCTTTTAAAAAGTATAGAATTATGAGGAAGTAAAAACCATCCACGGTTGCTGTCTGTCTGATCACAGTAGAGTTTCACATGGGTGATGCCATAGCTTTCTCTTATTGTCACAGGTGAGACAGAGTAAATGACAACGTGTAGTGGATTTGGATACTGGTGTTAAATCTCAGTTTTACTGAGATTAGAACTTTTACCTTACTTATTTCACACACTGATGCACATTGACTAAGTCTCAGCTTCCCACAGAGGAGATTGCCGCTGGTCCAGGAATGTCGGGCAGAAAGTCGTAACGGTATCATACTGTGCAGCTCTTTGTGGGTACCAGTCTCGGGTATCACTGGCCAAGGTCCCGGGGCATACCCAGGTATTTGTCTCTGTGGAGCTCCCCCAGGCTTGGTTTTCTCCATCTAAATAGACTATATCAGGTATAGTGGCCCTGACTATATCATCAGGTTGGATGGGGCTCTGAGGAACCTGATCTAGTTGAAGATGTCCCTGCTCATTGCAGTGGGCTTGGACTAGATGACTCCTTCCAACCCAAAGATTCTATGATATGTAGGAGCACAATGCATGATCAGCCTGCTAGTTGGTGGTTCTGCCTCATGTCCTTTATTGAGTGGAGAATACAGCACATACCATTTCTGTTTAGGCTAGGTATTATCAAAATGTACAACCAACCTATACTGGTTGTCATTAGCAAGTGTGCTTGTTCTTGGGAGTTCAAAAGTTCCGTTTTTAACATTATACACACAATTACCTGTCACCTGTCAGCATTCACAATGTAAGTTGTCTTTCACCTACCATGCTTATCCAACACCAATGTTAAAAAATAAGTGCATTTTAAGATGTTACATTTTGTGGAATAAGATTCACCTGTTCTCTTTCCAGGCTATTTTGTTCTTTTTAGTGGCACAAGTTGAGTTTAAATAAAAATACAAGTACAGTGCAGATTGGCTCTCCACCTGTTGCAGCAATAGTGTTTTTTATTAAAGATGAAGACAGTTGTGTACAGGGCCAGGGAGTCATATAAATCATGACCCCAAAATTAGTTTTCTCCTTTGCTTTTAAATAACTTTAGCCAGTGAGTATAGTCACTCCTCTCTTTTTCTATTTGCTGTATTATGGACTGAAAGTATTTGTCAGAGGAGGTCATAGTCCAGTCCGAGGAAAGATCTGGGCAGGCATGACTGGATGGGAGACTGCAGATTGTGGGCTCCCTTAGACCTGTGTGGGAAGGCTTCAGTGAAAGGAGGGCAGAGGTGCCATAAAGCACATGCATAGTGAGCCTGACACATTAGAGCCAGCGTGTGTAAACATGCAAGTTTGGCTTGCAGTCCACATATTGATCAACTCTGCACCCACGCTCTGCGAGTGCAACACATTCAGGAGGCATCCAAGCTATTGTGCATTCATTTTTCCTTTGCCTGTATCCTATAGTTAAGTGATGGGTCCAGTGGGCTTCAAAGGGCTTTGAAATGTTGAGGAATAGGCATGGGATATTGCTTGGAAAGACTGCTGGATGTCTGGGCATCACAGACAAATAGATCTTACTCAGAAAAGGTCATGAGAGCTGAGGCAACCTTCCTGCTACTGTCCCTTCCAAATAATTTCTGCTTTTAGAAACTGTGAAAGTGTCAAATGCTAGTGGATAGTAATGCTCAAAAAGTGCTTGAATCTTGAAATTAAGTTACCAATAATTTAAACAGATTCAAAGAATGCAATTTGGATAAGGACACATATTGCACACACACCTGCCAGTCATCAGTATTATTTGGTATAGGAAAATTGGCACAAGTAAACATGTGCTATTTTCTTCCATTCACAGCCAATTGAACCCCAAACAGAATTGAAGGTATGGTATGCTGCCGATTATGCCAAATTTATGGAAGCTTCTGCTGTCTTCATTAAAGAAGAATCTGACATCTGTCCTTTGCCTCCAGTAGCAGTAAGTACCCCTAATCTGCATTCAAGCCATCACCAAACATAGTAAATTACAATTTACATGCTTTCTCTGTTGATGTAACTCTGGTAATGCTAGAGCAGACCGCAGAGTAGTTGGCTAGCACAAAGCCAAGAGCAATTTTAACCGAACAGCTACTCGGAGAAAAGCTGCTCTTCCCTTCCTGTGTTTGTAATCCAATGGAGCCATTAGATATAGCCAGAAGAAAGCGGCACCAGTGGGATTGTGTTGGAAAGACTTAAGGTTGGCGTTAATTTGTAGATAACCAAGCTGTCCAGCCTCAGACTTCTTTCACCAGTTCCCCCTTGTTATGCTCTGACCGGTTGGTCAGATAATGCACTGATTGTTTCCGTGTTTCCTGTGCAATAACCCTTTCTCTTCTAATCCAAATACTTTCCCCTCTGTGTGATAGCAGGAATCCTTAAACTGATAGGAACAGTTCGTAAGTGTTGAAAACATAACCATGAAGATTGATACCTACGCTAGGAGGAAATGTTAAACAGGAAATATGATAAAACCAGGAATTCAGAGGTGCTCCAGGAAGGGGAGTAATTCCGTTGTTGCATTTACATACGAGGGCTTTAGAGTATACGCCACAAAGAAGGGGTGGGAGGGCCACAGCATCAAACACAGATAATGTAGATTAGACAAGTAGACAGAGTGGACATAGCTTCACCATGTTCTCCAGAGCAAGCTAGCCCAAGAGCAAGGGAAAGTAAGGACAGTTTGTGAGAAGATTAAGTAAAATGTAGAGACAGATAAGGAAGTACGTTGTCATGTATTAATTGGAAGTACATTTCATCAGTGACTGCATTTTTTTGTAGTTGTTATTCATTGGAATTTTTAAAATGTCAGTATTTAAAGTGAATTCAACAGAATCCAGTAGAGCTTTTATTTCCACAGAAATAATACTTCCAAATAATGTATTGCTTATGACAAAAAACCTCTAAGTCAGGGTAGGCTTGAGATCTCCAAAACTAAGGTGTTTCTTATTGAGTTTAAGAAAGTCTAATGCCAAATGTCAAGCAAAGCAAGGAAGTCTCTCCTGGAGGCATTGGCCTCCAGGAGAGGTAAAGCATACAATTTTTGTATGGTTGCAGTAGCAGATAAATTACGTCAGTCTAAGGATAAAGTACAATTTGCAACTGCTTTTATGAGTAATTCCATAAAAGGAACAAATGTAGAGACTTTGAAATTCAGTAAGCACAGATGAACAAAGGTGAAGGACTCAGGACTGTTATAGTAAATGCTAAACAAAAACATGCAAGTTGGTATTTAGCCAACCATTTTCTTTTCCTTCTAGGTTGTAGACTCCTAGAGAGAATCCTTTTCCAGCTGAATGGCTGTGTGGTAGTACATTGAAGTAAATATCATTAAGGACAATGACAGGTCTTTGGAAAGCTCAGGAGAAGATGTAGGGTCAGTGAGAAGAGAATGACCTTTTCTTAGAACAGCTAATAAGAAAGACCTGTTTCTGTTCTTATTGCAGAAAGAGCCTGTAGACCCTTGGATATGCTCCAGCTGTAGAAACACTTTTGCAACTTTTACTTTGCTAGAATCTCACCAGTGCATCCATAAAGACAGAGTCCTTACCACCAGACTCAGACCACCAAATAAATTGGGACCTGTAAAAGCAAAAAGCAAACTCAAAGGGAAACTGAGAGGAGCGGCATTAGGCAAAAGCATTGCTCAGTGCTACGGGACCATTTCTTGTTCCTCTGGTGCAAAGCTTAGCTGTGCCAGCTCAGGAAGCAACTGTGATGCTCTTGTGAGGTTTATACCTAAATGGAGAAATGGCCGGTCTTCACTGTTGAAGGGAAGAGAAGTGAAGCAGCCAGACAGTTACCCTTGCCGACTCTGTGGGAAGATATTTGATTCCATTGACAAGCTCACAGTCCACACTTACGCGCACAAAGGGGAGCGTCCCTACAAGTGTTCACAGCACGGATGCACAAAAGCCTTCATTTCCAAATATAAACTGCTCAGGTACATCTCTGAAGGCATTTCTTTTTCTGGTGGGTGTGTGGGGGAAAACACAAGGACATCTTTTTTCCTCTTGAGTGTTCTAGTGCCAGTTAATGCCTGAGTTCCAGTTTTTCTAATTCCTGTTTTGGTAGAATTGGAGAAAACTAATCTCCCTCAATTGTGGTGGCTACTCAAAAAGATTACGTTGAACAGGTTATGTTAACCTATTCTATGCTTTATGATTAACACCCGCCCCCCAAAAAAGTTAAGCTTTTACTAATAATCTGGGAACTTGTAAAAATGCCTTCCTTCAAGAGTGCTGGTGTTTTCAAGTCTTGAAGCTGCACTGTGTACTAGAGTGAATGTAAATGCAAATAACTTTTTTCTTTTTTGTCTTAGGCACTCGGCCACTCATTCTCCACAGAAATCTCACCAGTGTGGCTACTGTGAAAAGACCTTTCACAGGAAAGACCATTTAAAGAATCACCTTCAGACTCATGACCCTAACAAGATGGCCTTCAAGTGTGAAGAGTGTGGCAAGAAGTACAACACCAAGCTAGGCTATAAGAGACACTTGGCTCTTCATGCAGCCACCAGTGGGGACCTTACCTGTAGGGTATGTGCCCAGGAGTTCGGTGGTACTGAAGTTTTGTTGGAACACCTCAAAAGCCATGCAGGGAAACCAACTGGCAATACCAAGGAAAAGAAACATAAGTGTGACCACTGTGAGCGTCACTTCTATACCCGTAAAGATGTGCGTCGTCACATGGTGGTTCATACAGGCTGCAAAGACTTTCTATGCCAGTTTTGTGCCCAGAGGTTTGGGCGGAAGGACCACTTGACTCGCCATACTAGGAAGACTCATCCACAAGAACTGCTGAAGAGCAGATTGCAGAATGGTGACTCAGTGGGTCTCCTTGACCAGCTTTTTCCATTCAGACTGAAGGAAGATGCCAGCATACTGTCCCCTTTTCCTGAAAGGGTCTCTATGCAGAATGGGATTTTGCATAGTTCAGAATCAGGGGAATACGACTGTTCACATCTTGATTCCCAGCCAAGCTTACAAACTGCTTCTCCTCTTGAACCTCCTCCTCATTTGCAAAGGATGGGCTGTGCAGACAACCTTCCAGCTGTCCATCCCACACCATGCTCAACAGCTGTTCCTCCCAACCTGAACCTTCATCAGCCTAATAAATATGACCTTAGTTCTACCTCATTTGCAGCAGGATCACTCAAGAATCTACCAATAAAAGTGGATGTTAAAGGCTACAATGTGCATCTTCTTGAGGACCTGCCATTACTAGAACCTCAGTCTCTTCACAAAATCAGTCTGGATGAAGCTTCCTCAGGGCCTGTAGGGGATACTAACAAGTACCCAGTGCACAAGGAGACAGAGGCAGCAGCTGAAACTACAAGCCTGCCTTTCATGGATCTCACTCATATGATGAGTTTCTGGCAGCTCCCACCAGGTGACAACCAGAACACTACGGGGGACATCACAATGGCATTTAGTCCAGAGGAGCCATCACACAGGCTGAATGGCCTCGGCCAACAGCAAGGTCTTCAGCTAGCAACTGGTGGGATGGCCATAAACCAGCTGCATCATCTTCCTCGCTCCTTTCCATCCACTACAAATTCTGTAACGTTGCCTCATTTTCACCATGCCTTCAAATAACTATCATCGTGGTTTGTTTTTTTTTTCCCTTCTTTTTTTAAGACTGTGCTTCTTTCTTAAATCTGTTAGAATGGGGTGGTTTTGGTTTGTTTTTAAGAAAAACTGCCCCAAATGTTTTCAAAGCACGTTATGAACATGGTAGTTACATTCAGGATGTTAATAAATGAGAAGCTCTATTTTTCATACTACTATTAGTTTTTTAGCATATGACAATAGCAGAACTAACATACTTCCCTCAACACCCTCTATATTTCTGTTTCTTATCTTTCACGCAAACAACTGAATAAATATCTTCAGTTATAGCAAAGCATCGTAACAGGCACAATAAAACTATGGCTGCTCTGGTAGGAGAAGCAGGGTTAGGATAAATGGAAAGAACGGGGAAGTCACAGAAAAATAAATTTAATGAGCCATAAATCACAGCAGATTTATATACATGGCAAACATAGCAAATGATTTATCAACATCACATAGATTTCTATTAAGGACTTAATTACGGAACTTTATGAATCTTTAATTTAAATCTGAATCATTCCAAGAGCAAATCTTACCTCCTTGTTTCACTTTAAGGAGATCACTATTGTGATTATGTTTAACTAGATTTTGTTTTCTGAAGCACACTTCAGCTGTGTGCATCGCCTGCATTTTTTCCTAGGGCTGGAAATAACTCCCACTTCTGCATGATTGTGTAAGAACTGATGTCTGGTATATGTGCAGTTTTCAGAATGGGAAGTAAATTTTCTCAAAGGTTAGAGCAAAACATTTTTCACTTAGAGCTGGATCTGGCAGGGTATCAGACACTGGTCTCTCTAGTAAAGCACTTAATATATGCTTAAATTTAAGCAAATGCCTATCCCATTGGGTCAACAGCTTGATTGATTTAACACTCAATAAAAATTCCTACCTAAGGGGCCTTTATTCACCTTTTGTTGATAAAAACAGCCTTTGTTTAGTCTGGGAAATGATAATTAATTGTAGCCATCTGAAACGTGGATTACTTCACAGAAAGCCAACCCTGGCCCAGGCGAGCCTGTGACCAAGCAGGACCTCTGTGGGGCCAGGGGCAGGTCCATGCACAGACAGGTTGTGGAGGTGAGCTGGCACTGGGCCCTGTTCAAAACCAGGGTATGAACCTGCCTCACACATGTCACCTGAAATTAGTGGGTGTGATAATGGTTGAGGCCATTTTAATCAGGGAGTTTTTGCTCAGTAGCGTTGGGACAGCTGCAGTTGGGCTTCCAGCCTTTGTTTCTTCCAAACCAGAACCACAGGGACTTTTGTTTCCTGGGGTAAATTGTCTGTGTACATTTCCAGTTGATGGTGTGTTGGTGTGACAGTCCTATCATCTGATGCATGAACTAGCAGAAATTGCAAAAATCACGTCTCCCAATAGATGACATTACTTACAAAAAATCCTCAAACTCTTTCACAATTTACTTTCTTGCCTAACCCATAGTTATAAAAAAAAAAATCCTGGTTTTAGTGGATGATGCAGTTACTAATGGATTCCATTGCAGCTAAAACAGATACAGAATTTCTCAATCTGAGTAAATTCTCAAACCCTGAGAGCTACTCTTCTATTAAATACAAAGAGAGTTAATAGTACCTAATGATCATTACAACTACAGCGTGAAGCAAGAGTGCTCTATCCTCCCCCATTAATCACAGGAATATTTCCAGACAGCTTCAAATAAAAAATACTTTTAAAATTTTTCCTGTTTTGCTGTTAATGAACTACAATGACATTGTACAACTGCGATAATCTGAATATTCTTACAAGTTTATCAGTACTTGGATTAAGGAAAAGTTGTATTATTGCAGTTCATGTAAGAATTTGTTCTTCAGATACACCGTTGAGGGGTATTTTTTGTTACGAAAATCTTTGGCATAAGGCAAACCAGAAGGAATTTTAAGATTATTCTTGTAATGACAACAGCAGGAGGAAGAGCAGGTGCTGCACAGTCATGCCCAGTTAGAAGTTACTTAAATTACGAGTTCCAAAATAGGGAAAAGGTTGCAAACAATGTTATATGCACATTCTACAGCTAGACTCATATTTTTATCGGACTTGGAAAGGTGTGTGTATATTCACTTACTGCATTGTTTTCCTTGTTCATGCAAATTGTATTGACTTGGCATCACCCAAGCTTATGTACTTGTAAAAAAACCAACAAACCAACCTACAAATTTTGTAGCACTGACGGATCATACACTGTTAATCGACATTTTTGTCATTTTGGATTGTGCTTCTATAAGAGGTGTAACTAATTACTGAAATACTTGTCTTTGAATTAAAATGTGATGGTAAGAAGAAAACATTAATGCAAACACTGAGCTAGACTGGCGCCCACATTCTTTCAGCTACTTGACTGTAGCAGGGTGCCAAGAGAGGTGCTGCTGCCTGACCTCAGCCTCTTCTGAGGCGTGGAAAGATGTGTTGGTGAGAGATGCTTGTCATATGTAACTATGGGTTAAAGACCAAGTCTCATTTAACTAAAAAGAAAATAACCACTTTTGATATTAAAATGCTTAAAAAGCATACGATGATGGTGTCTACAAGTAAAACACAGAAGTAAACCTTAAATGTGTAATACTGCAGCTTTAACCCGTGAGTCCATTCACATTTCTTTTGCCACATTCTTGACATCATAAATGTAGAGGAAGCTGATGATGTCCCATCACAAAGGAAGGCAAGTTATTTCAAAAGGCTATGTTTGCAGAAGAATTGGGGTTTTTTGTAAATTCTCACAACTCAGGAGATACCCCCAAGTCATCTTAAAGTAGGGCTGGACTTTCTCGTAGCTCTTGTTAAGGGGACTTCTGTGAGCATTTTTGAGAGGCCATCAGTAGCTGAGGCTCAAGAACGTGCTGTTTCTAGGACACACAAGTTCTTTGGGCTCAGCAGACCCGCCTGGTGTGGGCCTGACTATCGCATTGCTGAAAGAGCAGTACTTTGCTTTTGGTGGGGTGAGATCGTAGGCAAGGCGGTGCTAAAGGAGAGGTGTGGAGGCAGCAGCAAGTCCTCACCAGCTCTCCCTGGGCTTACCTGTGGCATCTGAGAGGACGGGGCTGCAGCGGGCAGGCAGGCGTGACTTCAGGCAGTGACAGCAGAGGAGGGAGCACGGGCTGCAGGACATCGGTCTGGTGGCACCGCCTTTGGCTGAGGCAGGGCTGCGGCAGCACCGGTGTGGGGAGACACGGCCCCACACACGCCGGGGATATGGTGGAGGAAGAAGGCAGCCCAACCAGTGGCCGGTCCTCCCTCCTCTCTGGCACAGCCCGTTCCTCCTCCAAATGGGAGAGGAGAATGCAGGGGCAGAGAGCTGGCATGGGGAAGGTGGGGTAGACCTTAGCATAGCAGCTAAGAGACAGAACAGAAAAATCTGACCCCCCAGGGAGATCTTAGGGTATTTGTTACCTCCACATCCCAACAGAGATAAAAACAGTCATTTATCTGAACGCCGCTTGAAAATCTGTAGAAGCAGAGCAATATGTGGTGGCTAAACAACAGAATTACTATAACCAAATGATACTGTAAAATAGGAAAACTTAGTAAACGTTTGGTCTCGTACAAAAAATGCACTCTTTTTATTAAAAAAAAAAACCAAACAATCCAAAACAGCCAGCTATTTAAACTTGCTGAAATAATGTTAAGGAGCTAAAATTATACTACATGGAACAAAAGAGTCTGCATCCTTTATGTAAACAGAAGTGTTTCTAGTGCTTAGTTCCCATCCCCTACCAGAAACCAGGTTCGTTTCTTTTTCCTTTGCTTTTATTTACCAACTGCTCCTATTGGGACTCTCCATTTCTTTAACCAATGGGTTGCTGTTAATCCCAGGGAGTTTTTCACAGCCGGCCAGAAACAGGATGGCACGTTCCATGTGTTCGTGATTGAGTCATTTCCTGCTAGCAGAATTTTTAAGTACTGCTCTTCAATACGCCGTTCCTGCCCCTATAATTACGTTTTCTGTAGGATGCTGGAAAATGAGCTGTGAAATCAAACACTTGTACACACACAGAGAAAATAATGGGGGGAACAACAACAAATACAGTAAAACTTGCTCTAACTTTTGAGGGTTCATTTATGTCATTGTAAAAAAGAGCAACTGTGATAACGTTGCACAGGATAGTTTGGTATGGAGGTTTTTTTCCTCTTCCCGGATTGAGAAAAAGACTAAACAGCACCGCTTTAATATATTTGGGCTAATTGTATGCCAGCTGTTTCTAAGAGTCTCGCTCTAGGAGTTACACTTGCTTCAGTGTCATCCTTTCTGTATTTATCTAATCACTCTTAGCTAGAGCCTAAGTCGAGTTTAATTAAACTCTCTAAAGTCTGGTATTTATTATTGCTGCGTCCAACTATTTTTAATCTTCATTTACTCTATAAATATTTAATGGGCAAGAAAATTCCTTATGGATTTTAACTGAAAGCCATATTGGAAATTGTTGGGCTAAAAAAACTCAACAAGTTGCAACACTGAAAGTTTAAGCGGGGTGATCCAAGGCTGGTAATAGATTAGGTGGCCAAAAAATGAGAAGGGAGATGCCTCCATAACATTTCAGTCTTAACCAATTTCTAAAAGCAATTGAAGTTTCTAATGTGAGAATGAGATTTGGTTTTAGTTAGTCTGAACTTAAAAGTGCTTTGAAGGTGATGCACAGCATACACGGCCATTTATCACTTATCAATCACTATCATTTATCATTTATTGTTTACTAGAAGATTCTATTAAATATATACATGAAATTTCAAAATGTTCATTTGTCTTGTTCAATATATCAAAGCAAAGCATTAGGGAAGAAAAATTGCATGCTACTGGATCTTCCTACATTTTGTTAAAACCATTGAATGAACCACTGGTAATAAAACTTGCACCCTCAGCAAGTTGGCAGATGACACCAAGCTGAGTGGTGCAGCTGACACGCCTGAGGGATGGGATGCCATCCAGAGGGACATGGATAAGCTTGAGGAATGGGCCCATGTGAACCTCAGGAGGATCAACAAGGCCAAGGGCAGGGTCCTGCACCTGGCTCGGGGCAAACCCCGGTATTGATACAGGCTGGGGGATGAAGGGATTGAGAGCAGCCCTGCCGAGAAGGACTTGGGGGTACTGGTGGATGAAAAGCTGGACATGAGCCAGCAATGTGCACTCGTAGCCCAGAAGGCCAACCACATTCTGGGCTGCATCCAAAGCAGCGTGGCCAGCAGGTCGAGGGAGGTGATTCTGCCCCTCTACTCCACTCTGGTGAAACCCCACCTGGAGTCCTGCATCCAGCTCTGGTGCCCTCAGCACAGGAAAGACATGGACCTGTTGGAGCAAGTCCAGAGGAGGCCACAAATATGATCAGAGGGCTGGAACACCTCTTCCTGTGAGGACAGGCTGAGAGAGTTGGGGTTGTTCAACCTGGAGCAGGGCTCTGAGGAGACCTTATTGCAGCCTTCCAGTACTTAAAGGGGGCTTATAAGAAGGATGGGGACAGACTTTTTATCAGGGTCTCTTGTGACAGGACAAGGGGTAATGGTTTTGAACTAAAAGAGGGCAGATTGAGGCTAGATCTAAGGAAGAAATTTTTCACAATGAGAGTGGTAAACCACTGGCACAGGTTGCCCAGAGAGGTGGAAGATGCCCCATCCCTGGAAACACTGAAGCTCAGGCTGGACGGGGCTCTGAGCAACCTCATGTAGTTGAAGATGTCCCTGCTCATTGCAAGGGGGTTGGACTAGATGGCCTTTAAAGGCTCCTTCTAACCCAAACTATTCTACGATTCTAATATCCATCCTCTTGTAGGCGATCATTTAATTAATTTTTGGCAACTGATACAAATAATGTCACACCTTTACAAGGACATTGTAATAAGCTTTGTAGACTGAGGGGAGGGGGGGAAAATGATCTTCAGTTTGCTTATTTTATTGAATGTGGTAGCTGTAGCACTTTACATGGAAGAGGTGCTGGAAAATTGTGTTGCTTAAGGGTCTTCCATAATGCGTCAGAAGAAAACCTTAACACATCCTTGCCGACCAGCCACTCTATCTTCTGTTGTGCGTTTGCAGTCTGAAAGCAGCAACAATCCATATACTTGTTACTTGTATAGAAACAGCTTTTACATTTTACTCCATTTTATCTAAGAAGATTAAACCGCGATCCCTGGGAAGGTGATGGAATGGCTCATCCTGGAAACCACTCCCAGGCACATAAGGATGAGAACATTTATTTGCACCACTCAAAGCCAGTTTCTCATGTCTACTTTCTCAGCTAAAAAGCACTCCTGAGTAGCACTGAAACTGATCTCTCACTAGCCCAAAGTGCTCTGCAAAGCATCTGGCAAAGTTGCAGCAGCAGTTGCCAACACCTACAAGCTTACCCAGGCCAGTCACTTCCACAGTTCCCAGGGATGTATAGGACTCTGTCCCATATTTTGGATGCTAGCATGGATGTCTGTCCTGGGGACCTACTGGAGGCACCGGCTGTCCCAAGCCTTTGCAAACTGGCTGCAACTACAGCCCCAGTGATACCTGGACTCCCCAGTGTACCAAGATGTGTCTCCTCCACAAGCCTGTCAAGCTTGGAGTTTCAGAGTTCAGCGGCTAAACCTTGAGAATGGTGATGGTATCAATAAATCCCTGTTGCTAGTCTGCAAGACCCTGCATGATAACCCTAAGAGTTACTACACTGTTAACGCAGTCACAGGTAATCGGGGGAATGGAGAACACCACATGAGACCACTGGGTACTGTCAACAGTTTTTCCTGTAGCTGGCAAAGTCATGGATAGGCAGTGTTGATGATGGCACCGTGGACTGAACACTCCCAAGCCCATTGTAGACTTCCCCAGTTGAAGGTACTTAGCACAGAACAGCAGCAATCAAGGACAGCAAAAACTCCACATGGAAGGACGCTTGCAAGGACTTGGAATGCGAGTCTCTGCAACAGACTGTTTTGTTGCTGTTCATCCCACACACTGAGAAGTCTTACAAGCTCATCTCCCAGGCTCAAAATATCTTGCCAGCTACAGGGAATCTGTCGTGGCCACATTCCCTGCCAGGATCTCATATTCTGCAGTCGTATGCATCTCACAGGGGTGCAAGACACTGATCACTTGAGCCATCCCCTTGCACAACAGCACCACAACCACCTTAAACAGGGGCTGGAAGGCCTTCTTGCTCCTCTGACATGGCTCTGCATAGCCCGAGATGGAAACAACACCGAGATGGAAACAACACCGACTGCATGGTCTGAAGAGCAGAAGCACCAAACATCATGGTCTGGGAAAGTAAACACTGAGGAGAAGGAAGAACCTCCACACCACCATCCTGACATAGTGATTACTGAAATGGATGCTGGCATCTTCCTCACTCAAGACAGTGGAAGCACATCATGAGAGCACAAGACCTGCTGGAGAGGTTTGCATTATCAAGCAGCAAATCCTCTCAAGATGCCTGTTACGGCAGAACACGGTCACTGCCTCCTTGAGATGGAGCTGCTCCAAACCAAAGAACATTTCACACCAAAATGAATATTCTCAGCAGCCTATACTGGGGACATGAGAGGCTCTCCAAAATTTTCAGTGCAATTGAGCTTCAATTAATAAAAAGAAGTTCATACTGCAAACACTGCAACAGGATATTGTATATACACAGAAGCAACGAGGTCCTTTTATGTTATAATGTTGAAATAAAGAAAATATTTCCTACCCAAACTGTCCTGAAGATTTTTGTCCAGTAGATACACCCAAAGATTTTCGGGTTTTCTGCAGTATTCCTGGAGAGGTCTCTGCAGGTCATTATTTAAAAAAAAAAAAAAAGGCCATAAAAATTTATAACCTACATAAATTCAACATAAACCCCAGTAATGTAGGGATCAAATATATTGATACAAAGAGCAGTATGTATTATCATTCACAGGTTATACTACAAATAGCCATTAAAATAACTTTATAAAACATCTTCTAAACATAGACTGAGTATGGGTCATGACTACCGGTAGCAGTGGGTGTTAGCAAACATATTATATGGTATCCTGCTTAGAGGGAACTGTTTTAGGAATGTGATGGTGTTAATTTTAAGGCTAAATCAACAAGGGGAAACTCATATGGAACAAAGAACGTACAAAACTTGATGCTTAATCTAAATGGACTTAAGGTAAAGAAGATGGAACAAGTCTTAAAATCAAAGATTAAAGGTTATGGAGTCCTTTATGGGACAGAAGGAACCTCATATCCAGACTTCATATTTTAGGTCTATATATATACTTCTGTTTGAGGACCTCTAAAATGAAAAGGCTAAGAAGTCCTTCCTGAGGACCCACATGAAAACCTCTGTGTATACACTCAGCACAACGGAAAATGACTTGGAAAGCCATTCAATGTCAACAACATCCACTTGGAAATTTTTGACCCTTCTCATTTCTAACAAGTGTTGTACAGAAATGAGTTTAGGCTTTCATGTCATTTTTGGACTTGCAAAAAACCCCACATGATTAAGAACATTTCAAACTTTATTATTCTATCAGAAAACTGGATTCTAAAGCCTAGGATCTGCTTTGAAAATCCCACGCCCTCTGCCAATACATCAGAGTTTTATAAGAAAAACGTAAATATGGCTAAATGAACTCCTTACCTGGCCTAGGTTCATCTGTACTGGCACTTTTCTGTACTCTCTTCTGAAGCGATAACACAGCAGTTGTTAAGGTTGGGCGTTTTCGCTGAGTCACTGGTTCCTTGCCCTTTAGTAAAAGAAGATGCACAGTCCACACTCAACTCTAGCAAGGAGCTTACGGAGCTTGGTGAAAGCACTCCAAATCACTGTTGAAGCAGTGCTGGGAAGGAACAGGAAAAAGGTGCACCCCCTCCCACTTGGAAGCCATTTTTCCTGCCCAGAATAGGTAAGAGAGTAATAAGATTTTTGAGCATCTTAAAAAAAATAAAAGAAAATCAATACTCTCCTAAAGGAACTGTTTACTTTTTTTTTCCTATAATAAAATAGAAGCTCACTTCAAGAGACTGCCAGTTAGCTCCACTTTTCTGCTTCCCCAAAGGGGCATAGCCCTTCGGCCTTGGGTCGAGTGACCAGGGAATAAATCAGCTCTACATTTGCAGGAAACAGCAAACCTGACGACAGCAGGGAGCCCTAATGAACAGGAAGAGCTTTCTCTATGTATTGCAAAAGCTGTCAGGTTTCTGCTTCCCTACAGCCGTTACCCTGGAATCCAGTCACAGAAGAGGCTGAAGAAATTGTTGTCCAACTTTTTCGTACTACCATATTCCATCACTTTTTACATCAGACAAAGGGCTCCAGTTTCGGGGAACTCCTAGCTGATACTCAGCACGTACCTTGTCTTAAGAGCTTACCAGCTTCCCTAGAATCTTAAGCTTTATATTAATATAGGTCTTTACTCACCCTAAACTACAGTTTGGCCAATCTGCCTCCAGGACAAGACAAGTGTGATGGTGTTTGCTTACCGAAACCTGCCCGGTGGTCTTTGCAGCAAAGGCACGGCGGGCAGCTTGTTCTTCACAAAACTTCATGTGCCTCTGTGCTGCAGCCTCATTAAATCTTCGTGAGCAGTGTGGACACTGAATATAGTCTGACCGTAAGAAAGGAATGACTTGTGTCACAGTTCATACACTACAGGAGAATTGCCCTGCTTTACCGGAGCACTCAGAGTGCAGTTCAAAACCCGGCTCCGTCAGCAGGTGACCATGGTGAGTTCCCATCAGCTCCCAAAGTACAAACTTAGGAGAACTACAAAAACCTCCTCTAGAAAAGCACTTGGGATCCTAAAATACACGCTTAGGGTATTAACCCAACAAACAGTAATTGCTTTCAGAAATAAATCCCTGGGGATTAATAAAAGCAGATTTTATTATCTTTGTCCTGTTCCCACCTGATTAACAAGTCTGCAGAAAAAGCATTATGTAAAAATTCCTAGAGTAGTCAAAACCAGTGATTTCAAGACTACTTTTGAAGACTGGTCATTAAGATTGCTGTTTGGCACAACGCTGCTGAGGGAGCTGTGCGCTGCCAGCTGCGGCACATCCGAGAGCCAGGTTTCTGGGTGTGAAGCAGCCATGTGAAGAACGCACAGCAGTGCTTCCTAGAGTCTGACACTGCTCCGGTCCTGATTCTGCTAAAAGCTGTTCATGGACATTTGTCACTGGTGCAGTCCTACTCGTTTCAGTGAAGCGTCAGTGTTTGGGTTCACCACAGTCACATTCAGCCCTCGCGCTGCCCATTGCCATTCTCAGACCCTTCCTCCCTGCTCAGTGCCTTTTACAAAAGCAGCCCAAGCGTCCTTATCCTTATAGTACAGATGTAGCATCTTTATAAACCATTTCTCTCAGTAACAGCCCAGAAAAGGTGTCCCAAGCAGCCACCAAAAGCCATCTCCAGACCAGCTGTGTGGGAGGAAAGGGAGGGGTCTGCTCTTAAGGGTCGGTAGCGTCAGACAAGAAATAACAGAGTCATTAAAGGATTCAGCAGTGGAAATGCAGAGAGGAGCTTGACCCCAATCAAGGAAGGAAGATGTGTCCTGCTGCTTATACTGCATCGCTGTTGTCTAGAAGAGGAGAAAGGCTGGAATCATGGCAGCTGGTTTTGTGATCAGTCACAAATTCCTCCTCTGGAAGTGAGCCCAGACACCCCCCTTCCGCCTCCCGCCCTCCACCTCCCTAACGCAGGCGGGACTCCACTGAGACTCTTTCCAAGATTGCTCCCACGTTTCATAAATCACATATCATGAGAGATCGTGGTTGTTATGTGCATCTTTTGGGATCTGTAACTTCTAACACAGTGAGCTCCGTGCAGAGACCACACCTGGTATTAGTAGTAAACCAGACCCGTCTTTTCCTAAGTGACTTTCCCTGCCCGCACAGTTGGGTGGGGAAGGGGACAGTGGAAGAGCCACCATGCGGGAGTGCGGAAGCCCGTGTGCACTACAGTTGTTTTGAATGGTGAGGGGATGTATTTCACCCTGTCTCATACCGTGGTACAGCCTGTGCTAGAACACAGGCATCCCGACCCTCCTCCCAAAGCGTTGTCTAATATCAGACCCCAAACTTGCTACCTTTAAACTTAAAAGATGCAGCTAGTCTCCTCTTCCTCCCCCCCACCTCTGTCTGCATCGCACTCCTACTCAGTTTAAGCCAAGAAATACAGCTGAAAATTAGAGAGCATGGAGGGAATCAATGTTCACACTGTGTTGTGTCAGGGGGTGCAAAACTGAAGCCCAGCTGTGGATAATTAATAAGAGGTCGCAGCTTTACCAAAGATCAGCACAAGAACAGTAATAACAAAGTGGACGACAAACCTGGGTTGATGCTTGGTGGGGGAGGAGGCGGAAGAGGGTGGCCCTCCTTCAGAGCTTTTGTGACCCGCTTGGCTGATTGAATAGTATTAATAAAATCCTCATGCTGCTGCCTCCAGTTAGATTTCTTCCCTGGTTGTTTCTGCAATGGAAATAAAGGAAGACACAAACTATTTTTCCCCTCTTGCAAGGGACAGAGAAAACTCTTACAGTGAGGGTTCTTCCTTTCTGAGGGAAAGTAAAAACATTATGAACAAAAGAAATTTGCTTTTTTGAAAGGCACAGGAAAGCTGATTTAGCCCTTTGCTGTCTATTGACAGCACCAGAAGATGGATAAATGAACAACACTCTCCAACAAAACACTCTGGTCATGGCAGACCAAAGGGCGCTTTAGAGGGAATAGAAAAGACACTATGACCAACGCCTTTCCTTCTTCTCCACTTGTCAGATTCTTCTTCTTGCTTTAAACCTTTGTGCACTTCTGTTTCTTTCCACGACTGATTTTAAAGGACATTTTACAGCGGCAGTCTGCGTGAATACCAAATCAGCAGCGATTTGGCATCTCTGGGTAAAATGATACACGTGCATGTCCATGTGTATTCCCCTCCTCCCCAACGATGAAAAAAACCACTTGT